CTTGGTGAAGAAAGAGTGCCCTCTCGTGGCCATCAGCCAGAGCTGCTCCGGACCCTGCCTCTCCACCAGGGACAAAATAACTTGCACACAGCTTCCTGCCAAGGGTCTTGAATATGCATTTGGGTTTGGTTTGCTTTTGAAAAATAAATTAAAAAAAAAAAACCAGGAGGGGGCCAGTGGTGAGAGCAGCTCCAACCGTGCCGTGACAGTCCCCTCATCTTGGGGAGTTTTACCAAAGAATCAACCCTGGGGCTAAGGACGGCAGCCAGGTGGATGTGCCATCAGATGGTTTTTAAAGGGCTTGTGACCCTTTCTTTATAAATCACATACCTGGCGTGACCAGTCTCTTGCTAGAGGGGTGGACCTTGGGAAGGAAACTCCTTCAAGAACGATTACTTAATGGGTTAAATGTCTGCATGGGCAAGACCCCTCTGTGGACTGTCCCTGCCATTGCTTAGGTCCAGGAGCACAGGCCTCGTGGCCATTTAAGGGCCTGTATGGCCCTTTAAAACCTGCTTCGATAGAGCTCTTGGGCTGGGGAGGGCCGCGGGGGAGGGGAGGCACAGGGCGCCATCAGGGAAGCAGGAAGCTGATCGTATGTGATGGTTGCTGGATTAGGTCACAGCTCCGCTGGTTGAAATTGGATCCTGGAGGGTGCGTGTTAACATCTCTGGTGTCCTGGCGAAAGGTTCATCGGAGTCTCGCATGGTGCCGCAGAGATAAAAAGGAGCTTTTAAATAATCATTTTGTCTCCTACTCGCCAGAGTGCTGGCTTCAAGCAATAAATAGGTGGCATCAGTTCTGCTTAGACAGATAACCCTTTTCATTTACTTATTTAATGTTGGTAGGATCTTTTTTTTTTTTTTTTTAAACTGACTAGCTGAACTGTTTCCATATCACTGAATCCCCACACCCGCCCTTTATCGTAGTGCATTCGGATTCTCCTTCTCTGGGTAGAAATACACACACATGATGGGGTACACCCCTTCCAAGCGCACCCGCGCGGCCCAAGGCCACCAGGGCCGAGACTGTCTCTGCCACACAGAGGGAGAGGAAGGTCTGCTGCCACCGTGTTCTCCTTCCTACGGCTCCCTGTAGGTGGTGGTGGTACCATCTAACTTCTTTATGCCATCGGGGGTGTGCACCAGCAGGAGAGAGACAGAGCAGTGAGAGGGAAAGTGAGAAATCACCCCTCGGGGGCACGGCCACTCCGCAGTCCCGTTTCCCTTCTTCTCCTGGGATTTTGGGCACACACACACGTGCGCCTGGCGTTAGCCTGACGTTTCGTTTCCACGATTTGGGTGTAATCTGAAGGCTGTCCTTTGGAGAGGACCGTTGGTGTTTTGGTTTTTGGCACTTTTCACTCCTTTATGATCTTCGGGTGTGTGACTGGGAACCGCCTTCTGTGTCTGTGTGAGTACCAGCTCTGTGTGGCAGGGCGCTGTTCCTCCACATCATTTCCTGATCCACCGCGTTGAGAAATTAATCCTGTTACAGCGGAGTGAATTGAAATTTTCTTTTATAGACTGTTTGTTGACAGGATTCGTACAGTGATGTGAAAGCCGAACGAAATGCCCATGCTTGTATCATCTTCCTCACACATTGCATGAACCCTTCCATGTGGAACCAAACCAGACCCAGTGTGTCCTCCTGCTCAGAGCTCTCTGACCTCCCTGACATGTCATCCGTGGGGGACAGGGGCTCGAACCCATCTCCAGTGTCCTTTGCCAACCTTAGTGTTCCCTTTCTGATTTAAAACCAGTTAGCTGTCGAGGCTAAGCAAGACGCTCAGTAGGTGTGTAGCGTTGGTGTGGAATGGTTTGTGGCCCCCGTTGGTTGTTTCAAACAGTGATGGGGTACAGGTGTGAGGAAGTGGAGCATGGCTCAGGAAGACGCCTTCTCGGACTAGGTGTTGGCATGAGGGCACCGTCTCAGGGCCGGCCGGCGGGTGCCTGAGGACTGGTACCAGAGCCATGCTTCTCGCTGCCCCTCCTCCCATAACTGATTGAGTTCTACCAGGATAAGCTTGGGGTGAAGAAGGCCATCAGGGCCCTTTGCTGTCAGAGAAGGGCAGGGTACAGAGTGTCACCGTGGATAGGCCCACACTGGGTGGGCCCTGACCTCTGAGGTGACACTGGTGTTGTGTGCATGGCTAAGACCGGACGTGTTTGGGGCTCTTCGTGAGGGGGTTGGGTTATGATAACCGGTGACGTGTCACCCGCCTTCGCCTTGCCAGGAGTTTTCCTGTCAGCCGGGAGTAGCTTGGACATGAGATTCAGTAGAGTGGACCACAGAGTAGAATGTTCGCAGTGCACGTTTCTTTTTAATGATCCAACTACACTGAAACTATTGGTGGGGGTCTTCTAAGACACCCCCCCACCACCACCTGTGGTTTCGATGTTTCAATGAACTTCAATTTTTCGATGAACTTTTTGCAGTACTTGCGGAAATCCACAGGAATAGGCCCTGCCAGCTCCACCCCCTTTCCTCTGCTGCTTCCATCCTTTCCCACCCCTACCCAAAAGTTCTTTTCTGTTTGTTCAAAATTGAACGTTCTTTTCATGTTCCCTCTCAACAAAGACTTGACTGCTGAAAACTAAACTGGGTTTGGATGAGTGATTTATTTTATGGCAGGTTGTATGAAGGTAGTAAAAACAGACGGCCGAGTTCTCCCGCTGATTTACTAAACCACTCGATCTCTTTCTGTCCAAACCACCCCGCCCCCAAGTCGCTGTGGTGTTTTGATAAAGACTGGCCATCTCATTGATCTCAGATGCCACCCTTCCAGAGCACCGGCGTCACTGAGTCCCTTCAGACAGCTTCTACAAAGGGCCTTACCCGTTTCCGACGGGACAGAGTCCTTGTCACCTGGAACAGATCTCAGTGTTTAAAAAAGTTTCATTTATTGGGCCAGCCAGTGGAGTGGTGGTTAAGGTGGTTGTCTATCAGATGGCCAACTTCCTGGTTCCAGCCCAGGAAGGACTTGGTAGTTTAAAAAATATGCTGGGCACGTGTGTGTGTGTGCCCCAAATCCCAAGACAAGAATGGAGGAGCAGGGAGTGTGGTATGGCCATCCTCCTGGGGGTTGATTTCTTACTTTCCTGCTCTTTGTCTGTCTCTTCCTGGTGAGCACATGCACCCTATAGCAAAACTTTTTAAAAAAAATAGTTTAATTCATTTATTAATTCAGAGAGAGGGAGCAGCCCTAACAGGGTCTTGATGGAGTTATCCACTCCCAGCTTCAGCCAGACCCAGATCGTGGGCACACACATGCCCTGTGTCCTCAGGGAGGTCTCCGGACCTCCCCGTGCAAGACAGTCTTGCAGAGCATCACATTTTATTGCTGTACTCCCATCTGGCTCCTAGATCTCACATTTTGGAGTTAGACATCCCTCTTCAAGGGACAGTTTGTCTCCTTGCTGTAACGAGGGGTCTTCAAGAAGGTCATAGAAACACGGATTATGAAAAACTATGCACGGATTTAACATTTTTGCACCAAAGTAAACTTGTACTTTAATTTTATTTTTCATCAGTTTTTAAAAGTCCCCTTGCATTAGACTTTTCTGTGCTCCTAGAAACATGGATTATGAAAACTATGCACGGATTTTAAACTTTGTGCCACAATAACCTTGTACTTTAATTTTATGTTTCCGTGAGTGTTTTAAAGTCCCCTTGCATTAGACTTTTCTATGCTATCTGTTAGTCCAGAAAGACATCTCAAGATTTGACTTCAAATTAATTGAATTTACCTAACTTGGACTATATTGGAAGTGAAAATTTAGGCTGATCACACATTAAGAAAGGCAATGACTGTAAAATGTCAAACTCACAGAAATCTAAAATAAGAAATATAGAAAGAAAGGTTTTTCCTTGAACTAAAATTTGGTAGTTTGGGGGTGAAAATAAAAACAACATTCTGTTAGTTTTAAAAAATATTTGATTTTAAAATTGCTCTGTAACAGGAAATATATATATATATACACAAATGAACATGGAATTTACCATTTTAACGATTTATGTGTGTGTACAGTTCAGCGGTGTCACGTTCATTCATATTGTCATACAGCTGTCACCACTGTCCATCTCAAGAACCCCCTCATCTTCCTCAAATGAAATTCTGTAGAGTTAAACAATAACTAACAATAGCTCTTCACCTCCCGACCCCAGCCCAGGACTCATTATTTCTCTCTCTCTTTCTTTCTTTCTTTCTTTCTTTCTTTCTTTTTTCAATATTTTTAAGGTTTATGCCATAGGGTACGTGAACCTCGCCAGAGTGACATGGAGAAAAATGGAGAGAAAGAAAGAGAGAGAGAGACAGGGAGAGGAAAAAAGAGAAATCACCCCCTGGGGAGATGGCCGTGCTGCAGTCACTTCTCCGTTTTCCTCTTAGGATTTTGGGCACACGCGCACACACACCTGGCATGTTTTCCAAGCAGCCAGGTTCGGGCCTGGAACTGTGATCTGCCATGTGGGTGTCCAGCTCCTTACCCACCATGACACCTGCTGGCTTCACTCACTATTCTTCTTCCTACCTCTCTGTAAATTTAGCTATTCTAAGTACATTGTACAAGTGGACTACAATTAATTTTTTGAACAAAGCAAGTCTCTCCTTTCATTTTTCTCACCCTTTCAGTTCTTCCCTTTTTCCAGACCTACCTCCATTCCCTAAATGCCGTATTGGAAGTAAGTCGGAAGCTTGTTTAGCCAAATGACAGAGTTTTATTTTAAGTTGATTTATTTCTTGAGATAGAAAAATGGAGAGAGAGAGACACCCCCACAGGGACTTGCCACATGGTTATCCTCTCTCCAGCCACCCAGGATCGCGGACACGCGTGTGCCTGGCTTGAACATGTCCACCAGGGGAACTAACCCCTGGCTTCCATATGACTCTGCCATCGCGGGGCAGCAGGCTGCTGGTATGCCACCATGGCCAGGCGTTCTGGTTGTTTTCCTCCGTTGGAGTTGCTGTTAACACTCCCTGTCTCTGTCTCTCCCTGCAGTTCTGAGTATCCGGGGAGCCCAGGAAGAGGAGCCCACAGACCCCCAGCTGATGCGCCTGGACAACATGCTGTTGGCAGAAGGGGTGGCCGGGCCCGAGAAGGGTGGAGGATCCGCTGCGGCGGCGGCGGCAGCAGCGGCCTCTGGAGGGGCAGGTTCTGACAACTCAGTGGAGCATTCCGACTACAGAGCCAAACTCTCACAGATCAGACAAATCTACCACACGGAGCTGGAGAAGTACGAGCAGGTAACCGCACCAGCAGGGTCCTGGGGAGAGGTGGAGGGAACGTGAGACCAGCCTTCCCCGGTGCTGCAATGACATGGGCCCTTTGGTGGCCGGCATTTCCTGCCTGGTCCTAGAGCCCCTGGTCCACAAGGCCACTGACTATCTGGTCTCAACTCCTAAAGTCCCAGGCCTTAAAACGCATTTTTCAAAAAATTGCGTGAAGTCGTTAATGATGAGTTCTGGAAACATGGCGAGTCAGTGGAGGGAAGACGCAGTATCTGGAAGCCCAGAACATTCGCTCATGGCGTAAGCACGGGTCTGAGGGGC